GTCTGAAAAATTGGGTTACTGGGACATGACTTGAAGAAATATTCATGAAAGAGGACTCAGCCAGAAATGCAACTGGGTTGGGGGAAATAAAGTTGCTTATGACTTATGAAATGTGTCTTCACTGAATGTCTTTATTTAGTAATGACCACATTTAGTATTTTTATAGCTTACCTGAAAGAAAAGCTTGGCCTCCACAAACAGTGTAGGAGTCAGGACCCTGAGTGAAATGGGATGTAAGGCTGGGGGAAGGTTGCCTACAATTTTGAGGGTCATCTTGCTAGATGACTAGAGCTTTCTTTGTGTCTCTAAAAGCACGAGCCCCTTCCCAGAGAAAACTGGGGGTTCTGACCACACCTTCCGTGCTTCTGTCATTGAGATTTTGTGTGAGGGGATATACAGCCAGCGGTGGACGGGAAGACGGCCCTGACAGCTCCTTCTCTGCTCCGTCATCACCCACTTCTCCTCCCCACTGACCTCCACCCTAGAGGGTCAATATTAAGCTTCCCTTTGGAAAGCCCTTTCTTTTTTTCTTTAAACTAAGCCCTCCCCTCCCTTTGAAGCAATGTCAAACAACAGAACAAATCTGCCCACACAGTGATGACCTCTTAATGTTTGGAAAACATGTTGATTTCCATGTCAGGGCTTTTTTGCTCCGGACTAAACCAAACCAGGTCCTCGTATGATATTTTCCAAGCCCCTCAATGTCCTGCCCAGCCTCCTTGGAGGTCATACCTGAGATTGCCAAGGGTCACTTGAAAGGCAGTGCCTGAAATTAACATGGTAGCCGTGTGTTCTGGCCAGAAAGACACATACAGTTTTGCTTAAAGAGAGTGTTCAAGGAGCATTTGCATTCTTAGCTGCCCTGCGGGGTGTCAGCCTGCTATGTTGGGCTCAAAGCCAAAGCTTTGTCCAGTGAGTGCTTGGTAGACTAGGACTCCTCTCTGCTGCACTGTGCGCTAGTGGGGGGCTCAGGGCTTCTGGTGCTGATCACGCTCAGCTACCCAAGAGACCCAAGTCAGTGCCTGTCTGTGCTGTCAGCTGATGGGCCCTGGCAGTGAAGTGTAGAGAAAGGAGGAGGAGGGGGCAGGAAGCCCTGTGCTGCTCTGCTGGCCATATCTCCTCCTGGCCCTGCCCCAGGAACCGCATCCTCTACCTCTATTCCCCACTCTAAGCACAAACATCTCCCTTCCTTCCCTCTTCTCTCCAAGAATCTTACCTGAGCTCTGGCACCTCCCATAGTGCATCTCTACCTCTGCGGTGCCTGTGGACCCTGTTCTCCCTGTAGGATCCCTCTTGGCAAAGCTAATTCCCCGACATTAGAATATTTTATCAAATTGCTGAACATACTCCCCCTTTCCCCTCAGGCTCCCCATGGTGTGTTCGAATCACAGAAGAGGATGCTCCCCTGGCTGCCAAACCCACTGTATTTTCTGGGGTTGGCTGTGTTCATTTTGTCCCCTCAGCTGTCCCCTCTCTTTGCTGCTGTTACTATGTTCCGAGCAGACTTTGGAGCATCTCCCCCGCAGCAGCATGGACTTTGGCAGATTTCCTGGGGACTAGTGATGTCCTAACTTGTTTGATTTTCCAGGATTGATGTTTGCAGGGGTCTTCTTGGAACTAAAACAGAAATCATCCCACGTCCTTACGCAATTCTTCTGGCAGGCTCCAATGTATAAATAAAGCCCTTCACCCCTCTACGTTCCACCTTTCCCAGCAAAGCACTTGGGTTGGTCCTGCAGTTGCCAGCAACTGGCACACCTGCCGAGGCCTCTCTGGGGCAGCCATGAAGTCCCTCATCCTGCTCGTTTGTCTTGCTCAGCTTTGGGGCTGCCACTCGGCCCCACACGGGCCACAGCTGACTTATAGTCAACCGAACTGTGATGACCCAGAAACAGAGCAAGCAGCCTTGGCAGCTGTGGACTACCTCAACAGCCACCTTCAGCAGGGATACAAGCATGTCTTGAACCAGATTGACAAGGTGAAGGTGTGGCCTCGGGTAAGTGAACCTGCTGTGTCAGCTGAAAGTAGCTGTGCCTGGAGTGCAACCTGCTGCCTCCAAAAATCAGCATCTCCCGGCACCAATGTAACTGTCAAGGGGTCGTTCTTTGATGTCTTCCCAGGAATGAAGGAAGGGGCAGGCAGAGGGCAAGAAGGGACTGTGCTAAGGTCAGGGATCTCAGGCAGGTGCTGGGTGGGGTATGGGGTGTACAGGAGAAGAAAGGGCTTCAAATGATACTTTGCAGATCATAGGTGGGTAGTGTAGTTGGCTGGAAAACCTAAGGCCCAGCTTCTAGTGGCCAAGTTACCACTGGTTGAAATCACTTATCTGTCTTTCTTCCATTTCTCTCTGACAAAGACTGAGAGTGAATGAAACTAGCATTTGGCAAGTGCCCACTCCATGCCAGGCCCTTCCACATGCTGTCGTCTCATTCTGCTGTCTCATTTGCCCCTTCCCATCCTCTGCTCCTAGTCCTGTGTGGTAAGTATGATGTCCTTGTCGGACACAAGAGTAAGCCAACGCTCAGATGTGTTGTCATTTTTTATCCAAGGTCACATAATCAGTAAGGATTCAGGCTGAGATTTGATTATAGACCTGTGCTCCTTCCTATACACAAGCTGTCTCCCCCAAAGAGTTTCTCACATAACAGAGAAGTCTTGGCATGAACAGGCTTCACTTAATGTAGACAGGAAGCCAATACAGCCCAAAGTCAGTGACAAAAAAAGATCAAGGAGGAAAATATGCCTTGGGGTCAGTGGAGAGATTTGGAGAGGGGGGAGAGAGCCATCTATTTACCATCTGTTTTGAAACTAGAATGTACATCTGATTAAGGAGGATGCGTTCAGCAAACATTTATTACAAGCCTACCTTGGGCGAAGTGTGGCATCAGGTGTTACTGGAGATATTTGGTGAACCACATAAAACTTCCATTTTTGTTTAGCAAAAGCAGCCAAAGACTGGCAATTTTAATGGTTCGATCTAATATGAAAGTGAGAAAGGCACAGTTTGTGCCCACCCGAGTTTACAATCTAGGAAGGAAAATAAAGTAAACATCAGGAAGTTGGGATGGACTGACAGCTAGCATTGATCTCACAGAGGGACAAATGTTTGAGGTCAGGATTGCTGCATTAATGCATAATGGTGGCTCAGAGTGATTCAGGGGAAATGAACACCCAACATGCACCTCTGAGGGAAAGGGTAATGAATGGGCATCGCAATTTTCACAAAAGGCAGAACTTGGGAGGTACTTGCCTTGAGAAACTATGGTGTACCTGGCTCCTATATGGTGCTGTTCTGAATGTCCTCAGGAAGTCGCTTTGGGCATATCTATACCTGAGACATGCAGTCCTTTCTCCTGGGGAGGAGGCACTGATGCTTTGGGTGCTATTGAGTCAGGCAGGACCAAATCAAGAAGCAAGCAGAGCTGGGCCCACAGCAAAAAGGGATATTTGTACCTTCTGGATTTTCCAGACTTTGAATAAATGATATGGGAATAAGTGAACTAACAAGAACACCTTCAAGGATTTACACGAGCTTGCCATTAACTCCCTGGAGTCTACACACTAGAACATACGGTTTCATAAGTGTCCACGGGAGACGAGCTCTTCCCTATCATTACCAGCAGGGGGAAGTAGAGAGCAGCATCGGTGCACGGAGGCATCGCCTGTACAAGCCGAAAGAAAAAGTCAAAAACAAAAGCAACAAAATCCTTCAGGAAGGAAGAGAAAATGGGAGAAGGAAGGAAACTAGACAATGAAAGGGAAGGAAGAAAGTAGAGAGAGGGATAGAGAAGACAAAGAAATGATGACAAGATATTACCCTATACTACCTTTGCAACTTGACGGGGAAAAATCCAAAGCTGAATTTTCCAATTTGCTGCTTGAAGAGTGAAAATTTAGAAATTAAAAAATAAGTATCAACACTCAGGGTTAGTTTCCAAATAATTTGGCTCAGGTGAGGACTGCAGCTTCATCAGCTTGTCCCTTCTCCCTTTTAAGTACCACTTGGCGCTGGCCCCATCCACAGAGGTAGGCCCGAGAAGCCAGCTCCTGCCCTGTCCACAGGCCAGTTCAGAGTTAGACAGAGCTGCAGTCTGAAAGTAACAATGAGTTCTCTCTCACCTCTCCAAAGCAGGTGTGGGTTCAAGCTACCAGGGCTCACACTTTGGCTCTCACAGCAGGGTCTGGACAATGGAGTGCTCACCTCTCCATTCTGTCTCCACAGCGGCCCTTTGGAGTGATATTTGAGCTTGGAGTAGACACTCTGGAGTCCACCTGCCACGTATTTGACCCTACCGCACTGGCAAACTGTACCGTGAGGCAGGTGGCAGAACATGTGAGTACCCTTCTTGGGTGGCTGAGGGTGGTGCTCTGGCCAGTTCTGGTGTGGTTCAGAAAGAGTAGCAGGCTCACTTTACCCAATTTCTCAGCCTGCCTTCTTGGCCAGCCAGTGTGCAAGTTCTAAAATTGGCATTGGATGCCACCTTCCATTCAACTTTCTTGTAGTAGCCTACCTGAACAGAGAAAGTGCAATAGTTCAGTATTATCCAGTGCAGGTCATTTTGTGAGGGTTGTCTTTGACTAACATGCCTGGAGGGGTCCCTTCCAGGGTAGGACAGTGGAAGGCCAACTGGTCTCCTGGACACTCATGTGGGATTATTTTTCCAGGCTGTGGAAGGAGACTGTGATTTTCGGGTACTGAAACAAGATGGCCAGTTTTCTGTGGTGTTTGCCAAATGTGATTCCAGTCCAGGTAGGTATGATTATTCCTATTAATTTTACCTTGTGAGTGGGGTGTGAGCATAGAGGGTAAGGGAAGGAATTTGAATAGTTTTCTTTTTTTTTGCAGTTTTTGGCCGGGGCTGGGTTTGAACCCGCCACCTCCGGCATATGGGACCGGAGGTCTACCCTTTTGAGCCACGGGCGCTGCCCGGAATTTGAATAGTTTTCAACATAAGTAGTTCTTAGCCACTTTGTCAGTGAGAAGAAAAAACCCACTGTCCTGGGTTCTGAGATTTTTAAACTTTTTAAAGGAGCTGCTAATTGGAGGTAAAAATTGTCCCTTGATGACAGGGGTTCCCGCTGAAATATCAGCATGATGCAAGATATTTAAGGATTAGTGAGAGGCAGAGAAAATGCCAGAAGCCATCAGAGCATGCTTTAGCCCTTTCTAAATAAGCAGAGCTGGAGTGAATGCCACAGACAATTGGTGCCCAGATTCAATTTCTCCTCCCGGTGCAGACTCGGCTGAGGATGTTCGTAAGGTATGCCCGCAATGCCCCCTGCTGGCCCAGCTCAACGACACCAGGGTCGTGCACGCTGTGGAGGCTGCCCTGGCTGCCTTCAACGTTCAGAATAACGGCTCCTATTTCCAGCTGGTGGAGACTTCCCGGGCTCAACTTGTGGTAAAGACCAAGATTCTTGTACTCAGATTGGGCACTTTGGTGGCACTTGGGGAATGTACCTTATGTGGTGAAGCAGGAGTGAGGGAAGACCTGGAGTGGTGTCAGCAAGGAGGGTGTTGGTTGGAAAGGGAGCAGAAGCATCCTTTGGGTAAGAGGACTTTGAGTGTCATGAGGACCCCAAAGCCCTCAGCTTCTCCCCGGTGCTGAGTCACTCTAACATGGGGCAGCCAGCACAGCCCCTCCCTCAGTTCTAGTTAAAACCAGAGCTCCAGGGCCAGAGGGAGGAGGTTCCCAGGTCATCCAGAAGCACTGCTATAAATCCACTGGCCTCCACACGTTTATCACCCACCACCAAGGACGCGTGCATCAGTCTCCTAATTAATACTTAGAAAGGAGTGAGCCTATTCATACCCCAGGCTTCTAGGGGCAGGATTCTAAAAGGCCCTTTGAGTCACTAGAGAAAACTTCTAACATACTATGGGTGGTTTAGTCCATTTGAGTGTACTAGACTTTTAATGTTTTGAAAAACTGGGATCTGAATACCAGCCACAAACACACTCAGAAGTACATTAGTACACATGGTAATTCTTCCATCAGAGCGTGTGATTCATGGAATATCCCCATCCCAGACTACACCAAGGAACAGAAATTTTATTATTTTAAGTGTCCATATGTTCCAAGGGAAAAAAGCACAAGCAATATCTTCCATACTTTCATCTAAATATTTTTATTTGGTCCTGCTCTTTAAAGTAGACAGAAAAAGTATTTATTACTCTCTTCACTTTTCCACCCTGTCTTGGAGTAACCAGAATGTTAGGTCTCAAAGTGCAGCCCCAAGACTTAGGGAAAAGCAGCCTTCCCACTCGCGTCAGTTTACGGCTGGCCTTCTGATTTCCTATTTCCTGTATGAAAACTCACCTCCATCCTGAATGATGGTCAATGGATACACCCAGTCCTTCTTCAGGGAAGACCCAACCCTTCCCGCTGCAGTGCAAGTACTTCAGAACATAATCCCATAACAGTTGCTCTGTGTAAGTCACTCAGGGGCGTGTGTCCTGGGCCCCCAAACGTGTTTTGTGTGAATGGAGCTCCATGCTGTGTCTCATGCCATCATGCCATGGTCCTCGGTACTGCCCACCAGCCTCTTCTCCTCTGCCCTTTCATTCTGTGTTGTCTCAAGAGCATTTCCATTTACTCTTACCAGCCTCTCCCACCCTCTACCCGTGTGGAGTTTGCAATAGCTGCCACTGACTGTGTTGCTAAGGAGGTCGCAGATCCAGCTAAATGCAACCTATTGGCAGAAAAGGTGAGTGGGCCGGGATCTCAAGTGAAGCAGGCTGCGGAACACAGCATCCTCGTGTAGTTTGTGCCTTGCAGCTGCAGATAGAGAATAACAGTGCAAAATGCACACTCCCTGTGGGGCTGTGCCGTGCCAGGCCTTCCTTTGGTGTCACCGCCCATTTTTAGAGTTGTCGTCAAATCGTCTCACCTACTAGAGGCACATGGACTTAGGAGAAAGACCAAGGCAATCTCATGAAACCAAGTCATGCACAACTGCTGGGAGTGTGAAGTATAGATTTTCTGATATGAAAGTTTTCAAGTCCTTGAGTAATGTCCACCTCTAGGAATTGGGCCTACAGAAATCATCAGAGATGTTTGGCTGTCTGACAAAGGTGACTTATCATACACATAAGATGACCAAAAAATTTAAAAAAGAGATCTGGGTAGCCAACAGGAGGGTTTATCAAATAATATATGATACATCAGTAAGTATAAAATTATGCTGACACTAAAAATTATGTTTTCAAAGACTAATGAATGGTATGAGACAATGCTGTTATGGTAAATGAAAAACAGAGAATGCAACAGAGTCTCTTGTGTAGTCACAATGATCTCAATTTCTAAATTATATTTGATAGTACTGAAAGATAAGAAATAAGTGCATTCTCTTATGCAACTTGAACTTTACCTTGAAAGTGAAAGCAATGTAACCTAAAAATTTGTCCCTTGTATTCATTTGAAAATAAATAAATAAATTCTCAACAGCAGGGGAAAAAAAAATGAACTGCATCAATGTTCACAGCAGTTCTCCTTATATCACCACAATTTAGGGGGTTATGGATGATCTATCTCATTCTCCAAGTATTTCTGTATTTTCCATATTACCTGTAGAATTATATGTATCTTCTATAAGCAGAAACTTTAATGTTTAAGAGAGATTTTTTAAAGGGATAAGGAATTTAAGTGGGCTGTTATTTTGCTATATGGTATTAGATTATTAATGAAACTGGGGGAAATCCATTTTAAAAATCAGTTATTAATAAACAGTGCCTCTCTTTCTGTGGGCAGCAATACGGTTTCTGTAAGGCAACAGTCACTGAGAAGCTCGGAGGGGAAGAGGTTGCCGTGACCTGCACGGTGTTCCAACCACAGGTAATAGCTTCCTGGACTTTCTTGTCTGCACCTTCAGAACACAATGAGGCCTTAGCATCTCTGCAGGGCATTGGTAATTTACAGGACATTTGCTATCCTGTCCTTCTGAACCTCACAATATAAAATAACACTGGGATATGTGGAATCATCAACTAATGGAAAGGTATTTCAGGCATGCCTTCCCCTCCCACAAACTAGTCAGTACCAGTTTGCAAGGATGGGCAAAACCATCCTACTGTGTAATTGAGAAAGCCACTTTTTAATTTGAGGATTGGGAGTAGTTTTCTGAGTTGCAGGGACAAGATGGGAAGATTTGCCCCACAGTTCCCAGTGGCTGCAGCTGTACGTGTAGATGACAAACAGGGTGACATTGCTAGTGAGGGTTTGCCATAGATAGGGAGCTTCTCACTTGTGGGACACAAATGTAAGTCCACCATCCCCAAGATAATCTTGGTGGGACTGGGGCCACTGTAGGCCAGTCATCCTTCCCCATAACCCCAATGACAATACTTTGTACCTAGGTAGTTCTTTTTTTTCTGCCAGATAATTTGCAAATAAAGATTATTAGTGTGAGGAAATTGGGTGGGATTGCCACTGAGGCCTGGGAGTGGCCTTCTCTGGGAGAAGGAAGCATACTAACCTGTGGAAATGGGCCTCTCTCCAGCCTGCAGCCCCACAGCCCCAGCCAGCTGATCCCACAATGTCCGTCCTTGTTGCTGTGGACCCCCCTGGACCTGCATTCCCTCCAGCTGGCCCACCTGCAGCTGCCATGGTGGTGGGACCCATGGTGGTGGCTGCTCGCCCAGGACCCCCATTGCACCGGACTCACTATGATCTGCGCCATGCCTTTTCAGGGGTGGCTTCAGCGGAGTCTGCCTCAGGCGAAGCGTTTCACCCAGGCAAAGCACCCGGGGTGACACAGCCTGGTGTTGCTGGTGCTGTTGGTCCAATGGTCCTCCCCCCATGCCCAGGGAGGGTCAGACACTTCAAGGTCTAGACTAAACACAGCAGTGATGCAAAGGTTTGGCAGAAAGAATATAACCACTCTTTTGTCCAAACCTGGACACGGGAGGGGGCCATTTCTGCTGTCAAGTGCGTGTCACATGTGGCCTAGATTAATAGCAAGTCTTGAATCACAGCTTCTCTTCATTCCTCAGAGGACAGAAGCAGAGGGGTGCTGGTTCTGTCTGATGGAAGGCTTAAGACCAACAACTAGATTGTCATGGTTTTCATCATAAGCCACCATCATTGTGTTCTCTGACTTCTGGATGACCTCACAAAAACAATTATAACTGTGACTTTGAAAGGTGCTCTTGCTAAGCTTGTATCTGTTAATGAAAGTGTCAGAAGGACCTCCCTTAATAAAGAAGGTTCTAAGCTGAAATCTGGTCATGATTATTGCCTACTTCATCCAAGTTCTACTCACATGTGTATGCTATTGTCCCAACATACTCAAAACAAAGTGAAAACAGAAACCAAAGAGAATAATAATCTGCTATATCGCTGCACATGGGAGAAAGGGAGACTAGGATCTGCTCACAACCCATCAGATATGACCATTTTCTTATGAGAAAATAATTCTTTTCATTGTATAAGAGATGGGAAATATTGCTAAAGGAGAAACATGAGTTTAAACTTTGTACAGAAAAACCAACCATTGGTTTTCCCCAAAACCCAGGTAAGGGGTCTGGGGCATTGACAGTTAACACAGGATCCTCAATTTACTTGCCTGCTGGTTACTTATGTTTAAAATACCTGCTGACTGTCCATAAACACTTCATTTTATGATGCAGGATTGGTCTCTCTAGCCAATCTATTTTAAGGATCCAAGTTAAAGTTCTGTTTTATAGTAGAATTAGAGAAGGGACATCTGGACAGGTGAATCCAGTGGACATTTGTTGGCACTATCCAAGTGATTAGATAGCACATGGGAATAAACAGTCCCCTTCTGGGATATACCAAGGCAATTTCGATTTTTGTCTATCAGTATTGGGTTGCTCTGATTGACCTCAGTGGTGGGCTCTTCCAGATGGAATCTTCGAGGGATATGACTGATAGCCAGTTGAATGGCTTCACATGAATCAAAGACACTCTTAAGTGTTGACAATCACCTTATCACTCATGCCTAGAGGTTTTGCTGATGTTCCAGTAGCCAGAGTAATGGCCAGAAATGCAAGAAAACCACTGGGTGTCACAGAATCCACCATCCCAGGTGTGGGCAGAAGTATTAAATGCCGCAGAAAGAACAAGGGTAAAGCCTGAGAGCAGGTTGTTGTTCTAGCTGATCGACTCAGAGGTGGTAGTGACCAGTGGCAGATGCACTTGGAGTAGACAGAGCATCCTGGCTGTTGAGGGTAGGTGGGTGGTGCATGAGGAGGAAACGAAAGGGCACATGTATTCCCCTGGTTCAAGCAGTTTGATGGTGATGGATAGAAGGGTGAGGCTGTGGTCCAGAAAGACAACTAGGTGGAGGAAAGTTTCCTTTTTTAAGAAGAAAGGTGATAGGCAGAGTGCTGAGGGAGATATTTAGTGGATGGCTAGAAATGAGATTCTAGTCCTTCCCTGAGGAAGAGGACCCTGAAAAGGCCTCTTCCCTCAGGACTGAAAGAAACCTATCCACTTTCCAGCCTCGCTCCATGTGAGGGAAAACAGGGTATTAGTGTTTTAAAATTATCAACGTGTTTGCCATGGCAGGTGGTGACAACCAATGCAAATCAGCTTAAGAACAAAGGAAAATGTTACTCCTTGCGTACTGAAAACTCAAACGGATGAGTCTTACCTAAGGCCCAGCAGAATCCAGGGTTATCCCCTGCCACACACCTCTTGCTCTCTCCCTGCCTCTCAGCAGTGCCTGCCTCTGCTTGCCTTTATTCTTGGCTGGAATGGCCACTGGCAGCCTCATGCATACATCATAGTGCCCAAGTCTGAAGGAAGAGAGGAAAGCTCGCCGAATAGAGCCAAGGAAGACACAATTCTGGGCCAGGAGAACAGCAGGAACAAAGGTCCTGCAGTAGGAAATAGGCCAAGGACGAGAAGGGATGCTGCCCTGAAGAAAGTAAAAAGAGGAGAGCATTGGAGAAGGTCAGGTTGGAGAAGTAGACAGAGGCTGGATCATGAATGGCCCTGGGGTCCCCAGGAGGAACTTGGATACTAGTCTAGGTGCAATGGGAAGCCACTGAAAGCTTTAAGCAGGGTAGTGACATGGTCTGATATACACGGAAAGAGCACTCTATGGTTCTCAACCTGGGCTCTGTGGTTCTCAACCTGGGGATGGGATAAGGACAGATAGAGAAGAATCACCATCCCTCCTCCCAGGGATGTTCGGAAGTAAGGGGAGGCACTTACTTGTAATGCTATTGGCAGTTAGTGGACAGGGGCTAAGGAGGGTATCCATTCTGAAATGGACAGTCAGCTGGAACAATGAGGTTCCACAATGAACAGTGATTAATCAGTGTTTAATGATTGATCAAGGGCCAGTAGCATTCATGTTGTTGCTGTAGGGAAAATGGGTTGGTTATAGCTGGGCAAGAGAGCCACAGAGTAGGAAGTGATTAGATCTTTCTATGGAAAAGAGTAACATGATGGGTAGTAGGCAGGATAAAATGAGGATATAATTTGGAAGTAGAACTCTAGGACCTGCTGATGGATTTGATGAGGAAATAAGAGGCTGATGACTCTTGGATTCAGTGGCTTCATTGACTGGGCAGATGGTGAGGCCATTTACAGAGGCAGTGAGTGCTGGCTCATTTCATTTTAGTTATTTCAAGTTCTCTCCAACTTAAAATTTGTGCAATTAATTTTTTTTTCTTTTTACATCTGGCTGACACATGCCTTGGTCTCATGTCTCTCATAAAGTAATGAAGTCAGACAGACCCGCAAAACTTGGGCCCAGCTGTTTCACCTTTCATTTCTTGCTGTCCTCATTATACAACTGGGGGCATGTAACAGCCTAACATAGGGCTGCTGGGAGAATTAAATGAAAAGCTACAAGTATATGCATGGAACCTTCCTGACACATTCTATGTCCTCAGAAAGGGTCTTCTCTCTCTGCTTCTTTTCTCTATCATCTGACTTGGTGGCTTCAGAAGATTGTATTCGTGATCGTCTCTTAAATCTGTATCCTCCTTAGCAAGTTTATCATCTCTCATAATTTAAATGATCAATCTTTACTCAGATAACTTTCTGGGGTTTTTTGTTTTGTTTTGTTTTGTTTGTTTGTTTTAGAGACAGACTCTCATTTTATCGCCCTCAATAGAGTTCTGTGGCATATCACAGCTCCTGGGCTATAGGTGATTCTCTTGCCTCAGCCTCCTGAGTAGCTGGGACTACAGGTGCCTACCACAATGCCCGGCTTACTCAGGTAACTTTCAACTTAATAGCTCCCAAGGAGATCTCATTTCCAAATGTCTCTAGGATTTCTGTTACTGAAAATTTAGTACTTGTCTCCAAGGCAGAATGAAGAACAAGGAAAAGCAGTTTGAGGGAAAGGAAACAGAAGTTTATTAAATCTGCCAGCAAATGAGAAGGATAGCAGACTCTCATCTTAAAGAACCATCATTCCCCTTTCAAGCAGAAACACAGATTTTTAAGGAAGGTTTTAAGCTTTGGGCTATTACTGTTTAACTACAGTTGGTTAACCTTATCTTCAGTGAAGACAATCTTGTGACCTCTGTTCAGATAATTCTATTGAGCCATCTCCTGTGGTTCAAGATACTAGAAAACAAAGAACATTTTTCTGCCTCTTTGATTACTGGCCTTGGGCAGGAATGCAGGTTTTAATTCCTCAAAAGGGATGAGGGGTTTTAAAGAGACAACTCATAAAACATTTACCCTTTTTCAGACCCTCGCTTCTGTTAAATATTTTTTCCCAACTGTCAGGTTTGTACTTATTGGTGCCATTGTTCTTTCTGGTTTGTCAAAGCTTTGGCAGTAGATTTACCAAAAAAAAAAAAAAAAAAAAGAATGCATAAGCAACAATTACAACTGTGTTGATTGACCAGGTGAAATGGAAGAGTCTGCATGGTGTCTAAGACACTGGTAGGACATGGGACCTCAAACTGTCACCTTGTGCATAGAGTCTGATACAGAGCTAGGTAAGAAGGAGCTCTGAGTGTGGCACTATTAGTCACACTCTGTAGGTGATGCAAGAGACCAGCTTCTGAAAACTCAGAGCATAGGAAGGTATATTAGTGAAATTATATACAAAAATACTTCCACCAAATGAGGTTCAGGATGACAAACCCAGCAGCAGGACAGACTGGCAGAAGAGGCGATAGTTCAAGAATCCTCACTAAGCAATTGGCCCTCCATCCTACAGAAAGAACAAATACCCAAAGACAGGTTAGCAAAAATATCAACATTTTCATTTTTCCTTCTTCTTAAGCAAATACTTTAGATCACCAAAAGGCTGGGGGCCTTCACCAAATACTTTAGATCACCCTCTCCTGGGGGCTTCTCTCCTGTTCTTCCAGGGGACACCTCTTTACTGGGATATAACGGATCCAACGTTTTACTCCTGACGATTTCAACAAGGTGTGAGTTGTTAGAAGCATTACATAGGGTCCCTTTCATTTCCCTGACAGTTGTTTTTCAGGTCTTTGTCCTTTCCAGTCTTTAAGCAAAGCCTGGTCTTCCTGTTTAAAGGGGTGGAGGGTTGCTTCCAATCAGGGCAGGAACCCCAAAGAGTCAAACTCATGTGAAGGGATCAGATTTGATTTATTTGTTTGATTTTTTGGCTTTACTCTGTTTTCTTCACTTACAGTTTTATTGCCATACTTATTTCAGGGTGCTAGGAAGGGTCTCCCATAAGCTGTTTCATAGGGGTTTAACTTAAGCCTACTTCTAGGGGCTACCCTCATCCCCTTATCCAGAGCAGTGATAAGACTCTGATTTAGTTTTTCAAAGGCATTTTGTCAGTCTGTGGTCCAGGTCAGGGGCGCCACATCCATGCCTTTAAAGACTTCATACAAAGCTTTGCTATTTGTCCAAAGTTCAGAATCCAGATGTGACAGAACCCTGCCATTTCTAGGAACTTGTGCAGTGCAGTTGTCTTTTATTTTGGGACACCTTATGATTCAAGATGACTTGCTTTCAGTCTGATTCCTGCTATCTATTTTGGAATCCCAAATAAGTAATCTGCTATTGGCAAATCTGTGCCTTTTAGGGGTAATACTTTATAGATACACAAGGGCAGATGATATAACACAATCACTGAATTTTTGAGACACTGATCATAATTAGGGATGGTTATAAGTAATTTATCCTCATATTGTAACAGAATTTCTGGGTCCAATTGCAGGTTCTGCTAAGCTCTCACTAAACAGGGTATAAGAGTTTTTAAACCCCGGAGGCAACACAGTACTGTGAGGTCATCCTAGTCTCAGG